GGCCTAAGACGCGTATTCCTCGCCTCCTGACTTAAGATTTTTAACCCGGGATTATTGAAGTAGCTGTGTGAACTGGTGGAGTCGAGTGAGGAAATGTTGTCGGCAAATAAGCATACTACCACAATCACCTGTCAACCAGAATTACTTATCAACCACAATCACCTGTCAACCAGAATCATTAGATAACCACAATCACCTGTCAACCAGAATCATTAGACAACCATAATCACCTGTCAATCAGAATCATTAGACAACCACAATCACCTGTCAACCAGAATTACTTATCAACCACAATCACAAGACAACCAGATTTACTTATCAACCACAATCACAAGACTATCGGAATTATTAAACAACCTAAATCACTAGACGATCTTAATTACTCGGCAACCACAATCACCTGACAACAAACAATCCACAAATAACCAAGATATATCAAACAACCACAATCACCAGTTTATTACAAACATCAGAATTACTACACTCCAAATATACCCACCACACACCCGTCAATAACAACAAAAACTACAACATCAAACAACAACAACACATAAACAACAACAACACCCACACACACACGAACAAACGACAACAACAGCAACAACAACAACAACAACACACACACACACACACACACACACACACCAACAACAACAACACACACGCGCACAAACAACAACAACACATAGCTACAACAACACACACACACACGAACCAAGAGCGACAACAACACCCACACACACACACACACACACAAACAACAACAACAACAACACACACACACCTACACACACAAACAACAACAACAACACACACACACACACAAACAACAACATCAACGCACACACACACAAGCACACAAACAAAAAACACACACACACACACACACACACACACACAGACACACACACACACACAGCAGCAACACACACACACATACACACACAAACAACAACAACAACACACACACAACAGCAACACACACATACACACACAAACAACAAAAACACCCCCCAGCCAAACACCCCACAAACAGACACACAAACAAACACTGGCGGTGGATGGTGTATGTGTGGCATCACAAACCTTGCCGTCAGGATTTATTCCCCAACAGGGCCATTTTACCTTCACGAATCTGTATCGAATTTTCCGGGAGCCTTCTTTGAGTCCCCGGCCTTCCGATGTGACGCGAAGCCGGAGCGAGCGATGAGAGAGAGAAAGAGAGAGTGAGTGAGAGCGAGAAACAGAGAGAGAGCGCTATAGAGAGGATCAGAGAGAGAGAGAGGGAGAGGGTGAGAGAGCGAATGAGAATCAGATTGAGAGAGATAGAGAGAAAAAGAGAAAGAGAGAGAGAGAGAGAGAGAGAAGGATAACAGACACCGAGAAAGAGAGAGATAAAGAGCACTAAGAGGAGCAGATACGGACACCAAGAGAGAGAGAGAGAGCGAGCGAGAAAGAGAGAGAGAGAATGACAGAGAAAAACAGAGAGCGAGAGAGAAAGAAAGAGAGGAATCTTACTTCTTTTCATCCCTATCTCCTGTTTTTTTTGGGGCCAATACTTTCTTCGAAATCCTAAAAAAACAACAACAAAAAACACAATATGGAGTTTAAGAATGATTAAAATATATTTGTTTATTTGGTGTTTAGTTTACATGTCCTGAGTGAAGGAGGGGGGGGTGGAAGGAAGGAGTGAAGGAGGAGGAAGAAGGAAGATAGAGAAGGAGGAAAAGAGTAATAACACAAATGTAAATAAGTAGAGGGAAAATATTTTGAAGGAAGGGGAGGGGGAAGGGAAGAAGAAGGAAGGGGGTGGAAGTAGGAGTAAGGAAGGAAGGAAGAAGGGAGGGAGAGAGGGAGAGGGAGAGGGAGGGGGGCTCCTACACACCGTCTCTCATCGTCCTTGTGCCGTATTGAGACGAAAAGCTCGGCACCCGGTGGACGAAATACACTGGAATATTGATGTTCCTCGGGCCACATCACCTTGACTTCAAAATAGGTAACTCATTGAATATTCCTTTTGCTCATTTTTCCGTTGAGAGCTCCTATTGAACACACAGCACCGCCAGTAGTGAAACCTCGACTGTGAGCGAGAGAGAGAGAGAGGGCAGGGGGGGAAATTTATGGAGAGAGAGAGAGAGAGCACTTGTTTGAATAGGTTAAGTTAGCTTAGGTTAAGTTAGCTTAGGTTGAATTACGGGTTAAACTAAATATTGTGAAAGGTTCTTGCTTTCTGAAGCCCAGATAATGTGTACTTGTTATCGTAGAGAGTTATATGCCAATTATTGTGGTAAAGATAATACTCTAATAATTTCGCAGATGAAGCCAACACACTGATAGTTTACACTAGATGAAGCCAACACCCTGATAATTCACACTAGATGAAGCCAACACCCTGATAATTCACACTAGATGAAGCCAACACCCTGATAATTCACACTGGATGAAGCCAACACCCTGATAATTCACACTAGATGAAGCCAACACCCTGATAATTCACACTGGATGAAGCCAACACCCTGATAATTCACACTAGATGAAGCCAACACCCTGATAATTCACACTAGATGAAGCCAACACCCTGATAATTCATACAAAAACCCCCATTAATTGTTATATTTCATGATTATAAATTATCGCTATTCACATCTCAAGATCTTCAAACACTGATGCTGTTTATTTTGTATTATTATTCAAGCAACAAATTAATTAACCCTTTCTCCTGTATCGTAGGTCAGGGGTCAAGCATTCCCCCACCTACCCCCCTTCCCCCCTTTCCCCCCTTCCCTTCCATCCCATTTTTTTTTATTCTTTATCTGTTCTTAAAATTCCACTCACCTTACATAAGTTAGTGAGTTACTGCTTATAGCCCCTTTCTCTCTCTATCTCACTTTTGTTGATTTTGTTTCACAGGTAAACGTTTAATTAAAGTCTTTTTTTTTTCTTAATAGTTTACAAAAGTCCAAAAGGTTTTTTTTTTTATCCTATTTTTGGAAATTTTCGTGTTTTTTCTCTCACTTGTTTCTTCTTTGTTTGGTGTTGTATTCATTATGTGTGTGTGTGTGTGTGTGTGTGTGTGTGTGTGTATGTGTGTGTGTGTGTGTAAAGAGTTGTGTCGTTTTCAACAATTCTAAATCTATTTCTAAACTATCACAAGAGTCAGGTAGTGTGAGTGTTGGAGGGACACACGCACACACACACACACACACACACACACACACACACACACACACACAGACACCTGATGTACCACGAATTTAATTTACATGTCGCACCTGATTCCCCTCCTACCTCTCTCCTCATCTTATTCTCATTCTTTTCCCCTCACTTCCCCTCCCATTCCCTTTCCCTTCCTTTTCTTCTGTTCCTTCCTCTTCTCTTCCCTTCATCCCTCCCCTCATCTCTTCTCAGCTGTCTTGTTCCCCCCTTTCCTTCTCTCCTACCTAACTCTCTTCTCCCCTTACCTCCCCTTTCCTTCTCTCCTACCTAACTCTCTTCTCCCCTTACCTCCCCTTTCCTTCTCTTTCATCTTCCCTTTTCATTGTCCTCTTATCATCAGTGCCTCTTCCAATCTTCCTGTTTCTTCTCCTTTTCTATGCCTCTTCTTCGTCACCACCCCTTTCTTTCTCACATTTTTCTTCCCTCTACCCTCTTCTTCTTCTTCCTGAGTTCCCCTCCCTAATTTCCTTTCCCATCTCTTGTCTTCAAGGCATCAATTTTTTTTCACTTCCCTTACTCTTCCTTCTCCTCCCTTCCTCTCCCTTCCATATTCCTCACCTCCATCCTCTTCTTTCCACTCCCCAACCCTTACTCCACCTTCCCTCCTCTCACCTCCCTTCCCCTTACCTTCCGCTCCCTTCCCCTCCCCTCCCCTCCTCTCACCTGTAGCCACTAATTAGCCGTGGTGGGCGGCCTCACAACACAGGTAAACGCACCACCTGGTCTGATCATAGCCAGGTGTTGGTTGCAGCTAATGACCCTGGCAGCTTCAGGTACAAGAGGTCAAAGGTTACATGAATTCTGTGACCCAACTTGTGTGTGGCTTCAGTTTGTGGCCCATATCGACCTAGGTCACTGGTTTATGGCCACAGTAACCCATGATGTAATAGGTCAATGAACATGACCCAAACAAGACCCCAATTCAGGTCACAATGGTTCTTGAGTATACACCATGTGAGTTAGGGGTCACACACACAGCCCTCCTAACACAAGATAGCAGGCACTGTATTCGATAGCCTTCATTTCCTCATCTGTAAAGTCAGGACAAAATGTAAATGTTGTATCCACTCGGCCACGACTTTCTCTCTGTTGTATCTTTCATTCACGGATTACTATTCTACTGCTGCTATAACTTTCACTCACGTAATACTTTCTCTGTTATAACTTTCCTTTATGTTATATTTTCTCTCCCTATGTTATAACTTACACACATGTAATACTTTCTCTCCCTATATTGTAACTTTCACGCACATAATACTTTCTCTCATTATAACTTTTACGCACATAATACTTTCTATCCCTATAACTTTCACTCACGTAATACTTTCTCTGTTATAACTTTCCCTTATGTTATACTTTCTATCCCTATAACTTTCACTCACGTAATACTTTCTCTGTTACAACCTTCACACACGTAATACTTTCTCTCCCTATGTCATAACTTTCACTCACAATCTGTTACTTTCTCTTCATATTACTGTCGTCCCCCACAAAATATTTCTCGTTACATAGTTGGCATTCTTTGTGCCCTCTCCTTTCTCCTGCTTCCTTTCTTTATTCTCTCTCTCTCTCTCTCTCTCGTCCTTGTTTTCAATCCAATCCCACTACCTACTCTCTCTCCTTCCTCCTCCTCCTTCCACTCTCTCTCTCTCTCTCTCTCTCTCTCTCTCTCTCTCTCTCTCTCTCTGTACTCTCTCTCTCTCTCTCTCTCTCTCTCTCTCTCTCCCATCTGCCGGCTGCAATATAATCCCTTCGACAATTTCCGAGTCGTATTGACGATACAGATGGTGACTCCTTCAAGTTTATCACCTACCTCTTCTTCTTCCTCCTCTTCCTCATCCTCCTTCTCGTCGTCCTTCTCCTCCTTCTCGTCCTTCTCGTCCTCCTTCACTTTCAGACTTTCTTCCCCAATATCATCATCTCTTCTCCACCATCAACCTCCTCTTGCCTCTCCCCCAATACAACGCTTCCTTCTTCACCTCCTCTGACTGCTCCCCCATCTTCTCAACCCCCTCCCCACCCCTCTCTTAACCACGTCCTCACCCCTCCTCCCCAGCCTTTATCCCAACCTCATCAAAGCCTCTCCCCAATCACCTCCCCGGCTTTTTCTCCCCACCTCTTCCCCCAGCCTCTCTCTTCCCCCCACCCCCTCCTCCAGTAGATCAACACAGATAAGAATAGCTAAGAACAGCAAGCTTCTCACGTCCAGGTGTTCTTAAGACAGTACGAAGACATATAGCAAGGATGTGATTTGTTTAATTACTTCCTCTCTTCTCACCTGCCCTGATCTATCACCTTTCCTCACTTCTCACCTGTCCTCACCTATCCTCACCTCTCACCTATCCTCACCTCTCACCTGTCCTCACCTCTCACCTATCCTCACCTCTCACCTGTCCTCACCTGTCCTCACCTCTCACCTGTCCTTCTCTGTGACAATCTTCCTCTGTGTGGCACCGAGAGGCGTGTCCCGGGAGTGGGTGTTGGGTGTTGTTGTGTACAGATTATTTTGCACACACACACACACACACACACTCACACACACTCACACACACACACACACACACACACAGTCACACACACACACACACAGACACACACACACAAGTCCTCCAATTTTAAGACATAGCCCCTGACAGCTGGTGACAGGGATGCTCTACAAAGCTTAGGACATTTACTGCACTTGAAATGATGTGACCAAAGTTGTAACACACTTCCTGAAGGAGTAAACAAGAACGCCGAGAGTAGGGGGGGGGGTGGGTGGGGGGATGGAGAAAGTCAGTGTGTTGAAAGTGCTGTGTGTGTTAAAGTTACAGACAGACAGACAGACAGACAGACAGACAACACTATTACGAGTAAGAAATATCTGACTAAAGGATAAGAAGAGATAATCCTTCCTTATCGTGTCTCTTTTCTTCTCCTTTATCTCTTCCTTGTGAGATGAAGGAGGAGGATTAAAGATACTGTTGATAAAGATAGTGATGAAGATAGATAGAGATAATGCTGATTAAGATGCTAACCTAACCTAACCTAACCTAACCTAACCTAACCTTAGTGGGTTCCAATTAACTGTATAATGTAAATCTCACACGTCTCGTAATTTACGGATCAATTTTACCATCGTCTTATTCACACACTCTTTGACAGATTTGAAAACCAGTTATCGTATGCTCCAGTTACCAGATGCTACCATTTATCATATGCTCCAGCTATCAGATGGCTAGATGCTCCAGTTATCAGATGGGTAGATGCTCCACTTATCATATGGCTATGCTCCAGTTATCAGATGGCTAGATGCTCCAGTTATCAAATGGGTAGATGCTCCACTTATCATATGGCTAGATGCTCCAGTTATCATATGGCTAGATGCTCCAGTTATCAAATGGCTAGATGCTCCAGTTATGAGATGGCTAGATGCTCCAGTTATCAGATAGCTAGATGCTCCAGTTATCAAATGGCTAGATGCTCCAGTTATGAGATGGCTAGATGCTCCAGTTATCAGATGGCTAGATGCTCCAGTATAAACAAGAACCATCGCCATGTTTAGCCTCGTGTCGTCACTACACTTCCGTTCTGGTTACCAAGTAATAAAAACATGTAACTTAACAGGAGCCAACACTCACACACTGTTGTTGGCGAGACAGAGTTCCCGGAATGAACTCCTTGTCTGCGTTAATAAAGCCCTTGCCACACCCTAACACACTCTAATACACTTCCCAACACACTTCCCAACACATGCCACATATCACTGTATTACCACCACAACCACACTCCACTACACCCCACCACACACACACACACACACACCCACCACCATCACCACACTGTTCTCCCACACACACCACGACTCTAGGGAGGCGACATTCAACAGACCTAGAGAGAGAACCATCTAGATTTTTACTATAATCCAGACAACATAATCCAAACAACATAATCCAAACAACATAATCCAGACAACATAATCCAGACAACATAATCCAAACAACATAATCCAAACAACATAATCCAAACAACATAATCCAAACAACATAATCCAAACAACATAATCTCTCTCTCATTCTGGATAAAACACGGGTCGTCAGTTTTGTTAAGTTTGGATAAGTTTTAATATTACTGTTTTGTTCTGTTGCTTTGTGGATAAGTCGTTTCTTAACAGGTATACAGGTATTTATTTACGTATTGTGTAATTACCTTAATGACATTTGTTGAAACATATAAAGATGGTACAAACTTTTATGGGTTTATCGTGTGTTGTATGACGTAGTAATGTAATCCCACACGTGTTTTTATTATACATATTTTAGTCTGTTTTTTTTTCGTTTTATCCAAATATTTCGTGTGTTTGTGAATGTCTGTTGCTGTTTTGTTTTTATTTTCGGTGTGTTAAGATGCGGGAACTATAGGAAGGTGTGTGTGTGGATGTGGGTGTGTGTGTGTGGGTGTGTGTGTGTGTGTGTGTGTGGGTGGGTGTGTGGGTGTGTGTGTGTGTGTGTGTGGGTGTGTGTGTGTGTGTGTGTGGGTGTGGGGGTGTGTGTGTGTGTCTAACCTAACTTAACTTAACCTATCTTAACCTAACCTAACCTATCTTAATCTAACCTAACCTCCGTCCCCAGGTAGAGTTAAGGTGTTTAATCTTCAGGTGATATAAGCTGGGGTGGTTAATCTTCAGGTGATCTGCCGTCACTCTCATATTTAAAACAAACAAAAACAATTAAACTGACATGAATCACAACAACAACAACAATATATATTCTTCCTAACAAAGAGACAAGAACACAAGGGGATTACCGTCTAGTTCACATCCCCTGTCTGTCTTTCTGTCTGTCTGTGTCTCGCCATGGAAAAGACCCAGACATACACGTCATGTAGGTCATTAAACACACACACACACACACACACACACACACACGTACACACCTTATCAAAAGTGACATTAAAGTCATTATTCATTAATCTTGAACACTGAACATATCTGACCGAGTCTTGTGAAAGATTAAGTTACCAGTAGAGAAATTAGCATGCTTGGGAACTTCGTGTTTTCTTCTTTCCTTGTGGTTATCAGCATATACCTAGATCACGCGCACCTGCAGTGATTTACTTGCATGAATGTTCTTATGTGGTTGATCTTATTCCCCTGTTGTATAAAACCACTTGCTATTGTAGTTGTTAAGAGTGTGTATGCAAATTAGTTATCAAGATGAGATGGGGTATTTATATAGATTTCTCTGCTCTTCTCTTCTCTTCTCTCTAACAGGATAAGGAGACGGTAGTGAGACCTTTTTTTTTTTATTCTCCTTTCTCTTCTCTTCCATACCCTTTCCCATTTCTTTCCCTTCTCTCTTTTCCATTTCCTATTCCCTCTCCTTCTCTCCTCTCTTCTTTCTTCATCCTTCATGCCCCTCTTCCCTCCTTCCCTTCCCTACTCCCTTTCCGTTTCTCCTCTCCTACTTTACCACCCTTCCTGTTCCTTTCCTATCCCCCTCTCCAGCAGGAAGAGGAGGCAATAAAGAAACCCCTCTCTACCTCTTTTCTCTTCACCTTTACTTTTCCTTCTTTCATTCCTCTCCCCCTTCCTTCCTCTCACCACTCTTGCCTACTCTCTCCCTCTCCCTCCTTTTCCTTTCCTATTCTTCCTCTCCCACAAAGTCTCCCTCCCCGCCCTCAATACACCCCTTGAACACCCCCCCCGCCCATCATCCCTCCCCTCAATTACATCTCTTCACTCCTCTTCTCCACATCCCTCCTCCCTCTCATACTTCTCTCTCCCTCCCCCTAGTACGCCCCCCTATCTCCTCTCCTCCTCTCCCCTCTCCCCAGGCAGGGTCAGCGTGGCGTAAGATCAATTCCCTTCCGGTTCTTGTCTCAGGGCAGAGTTAGAAAGTTGCACACAAGTTCTCACCAATTAACCCAGCCAAGACACAGGCACCTACTTGATTGTCGCGCCGACCGGGGGAAGACGAACACCTCACCTGCCTGTGTGTGGGGGGAAGGGGGTGGGTGGGGGAAGGGGGTGTTAAGGGGTGGTTGTATGTGTGTGTGTGTGTGTGTGTGTGTGTGTGTGTGTGTGTGTGTGTGTGTGAGAGGACAGCTGTTAGTGAAAGCTTCGAGGAAAGGAGGAGCATTTATGAGAACTTCAAGAATTAGAGTTAACTAATTGTGAGAATCTCCAGAGAGAAATCCATTTTATGAGCCAATGAGAGAACTACTTTTTTGGGGAGAATTTTGAAACCTCGTGAGTTTTTGTAAGTTGACCAGAGATCCAAATGGTCTACTTTTAATCTAATTTACAAGACAACATTTCTCTCTATTATTTCTTTAACCAACTGTAAATCACAAATCCCAAAAGGCATAACCAAACACCTTTTACTAACAGATTCAATTAATACAATAATATTTCGGTGGCCCCAATAACTAGAGGTCAAAGGTCAGGTTACGAGCCAGTTATTTGATATTTACTGTTTATATGAGCGCCCCCTCCCCTCTGGTCTGCTCTTCTCGTTTTCTACAGGGGGAAACTATGAAAGATGAGAATTGTTCAGTTGTTTGATATTTTTTGAGTTTTATTATATTTTCCTGTTATTTATTTGTATTTTTATTTATTTATTTTACAGCAAAATATATGTAATTTATAAATAGAATAGAGAGAAAATTAGGGAAAATAATGAATGAATGGTTAGGAAGGAAAAATAAATAAAAATATAAACAGGAATAAAAAGATAAATAACACCCAATGAGTAAGAAAACAAATAGTGAACAGATAAATATGTAATAAAAATGTGAAGGTGAGGAAATGTTTTAATTACAGGTGGGAAGCTTTCAAAAGTTTTCAGTAATATGAGACGACAATAACTATCTCTTGGTCGAACGAAAATATTAGAGGCATCGCTGTTGTGTGTGTGTGTGTGTGTGTGTGTGTGTGTGTGTGTGTAAACTTTTGTCTAAGGAATTATTTTTACTTATTAGTGTTTTAGTTGTGTACAATATTACCAGCCTTGACAACAGTGCCAGTCGTGACAACAGTATTAGCCGTGACAACAGTGCCAGTCGTGCCAACAGTGCCAGCCGTGCTAACAGTGCCAGCCTTGACAACAGTGCCAGCGGTGCCAACAGTGCCAGCCTTGACAACAGTGCCAGCGGTGCCAACAGTGCCAGCCTTGACAACAGTGCCAGCGGTGCCAACCAACAGTGCCAGCCGTGCCAGCGTGCCAGCGTGCCAGTCGTGACAACAGTACTAGCCGTGCTAACAGTGCCAGCCTTGACAACAGTACTAGCTGTGCTAACAGTGCCAGCCGTGCCAACAGTGCCAGTCGTGACAACAATACTAGCCGTGCTAACAGTGCCAGCCTTGACAACAGTGCCAGCCTTGCCCAGTGCCAGTCCAGAAATTAGCCGTGACAACAGTACCAGTCGTGACAACAGTGCCAGCCGTGCCAACAGTGCCAGTCAGTGCCAGTCAGTGACAACAGAAATTAGCCGTGACAACAGTACCAGTCGTGACAACAGTGCCAGCCGTGCCAACAGTGCCAGTCGTGACAACAGAAATTAGCCGTGACAACAGTACCAGTCTTGACAACAGTGCCAGCCGTGCCAACGTGCCAGCCGTGCCAACAGTGCCAGTCGTGACAACAGAAACTAGCCGTGACAACAGTACCAGTCGTGACAACAGTACCAGTCGTAACAGTCGTGACAACAGTACCAGTCTTGACAACAGTGCCAGCCGTGACAACAGCCACCAGTGCCACGTGCCAACAGTGCCAGCCGTGCCAACAGTGCCAGTCGTGACAACAGTATTAGCGTGACAACAGTGCCAGCCGTGACAACAGTGCCAGCCGTGCCAACAGTGCCAGCCGTGCCACCATCAGGATCATCACCACCCCTTTAAGTTACTACCATGATGGCTGTGTCCGTAGTGCCACCACCACAGCCGCCACCACAGCCGCTACCACAGCGCCACCACAGCCACCACCACAGCCACCACCACCACAGCCGCTACCACAGCCACCACCCACAATTATTATCACCATCTCTCACCCTCCTAAACCTCCTCCGCCACCACCTCCTTCCCCTCCTCCTCCTCCTCCTCCACCACCACCACCACCTCCTCCTCCTCCACCACCGCCACCCTCCTCCTCCTCCTCCTCCTCCTCCTCCTCCTCCTCCTCCTCCGCCACACAAACTTGTAGAGTTGGTCCAGGAAGTTAGGAACAATTAACTCACCAAGACATCTTAATATAATCTGTTTAATGTCTTTGTTGTGTTCTTGTTGCCCCCCTCTCTCTCTCTCTCTCTCTCTCACTCTCTCTCTCTCTCTCTCTCTCTCTCTCTCTCTCTCTCTCTCTCTCTCTTCTTCATTGCATATCCTTCCTCTCCCCATTCTTTGTCCTTCCTAACTCCTCCTCCTCTCCCTCTCTTCTTTCTCTTTCTCCTTCCTCCCTCCTCCTCTCCCTCCCTCCTCTCCCTCCTCTCTCCTCCTCTCCCTCCTCCTCCCTCCTCCTCTCCCTCCTCCTCCCCCTCTCTTCCCCCTTCTCATGGTAGGTGGAAGGGGGGAAGACCACGTTGACAGATGATGAGGTTTTTTTCTTATTTTATGGAAGCGGAAAGGGGGAAAGGGGGAAAGGGTCTCGGGGAGGTGAGAAAGGGGGGGAAGGGGGAAGGGGAATGTGGGGAAGGGTGGTGTTGTGAGGGGGAAAGGAGCTATTGGGAATGGGAGAGGGTGTGGAAAAGGTGGAAGGGGAAAAGAAAAAGGGGTGGGGGGGAAGGGGGAATTAAAGACGGTGAATCAATATTATTACTGAGTCTTAGTGTTTCTTTTGTGTGTCTGTTTGTTTGTTTGCTTTTATGTGGAGTTTATCTTCGTTGTTTTTTGTTAATGTTTTTTTTATTATTTGTTTGTTTATTTGTCTTATGGTGTTTTTTGTTATTATTTTCTTTGTTTTTTTATCTTTTTTTATTCATCCACTTATTTTTTTTTACTTTTTATTTTGTTGTTGTTGTTGTTGTTGTTGTTGTTGTTGTTGTTGTCGTTTTTGTTGTTGTTCTCTAGAAACCGGCACAATCTCCTCACTTCTCTCATCTTCTTTTTCCCTCACAGTTCTCTCACTTCCCCTCCTCCCCATCTCCCCTCACCCCATCTCCCCTCACCCCCATCTACCCTCACCCCCTATATCTCCTCACTCCCCATCTCTCCTCTCTATCTCTCTGTTCTCTATCTTCTCACTTTGTCTCCCTCAATTCTATCTTCCCTACCTCTATCTCCTCTCACTCCATCTCCCTCACTCCCCCTATATCTCCTCACCCCTATCTCCTCACTCTATCTTTCTCACTCTATCTCTGGCCTTTATCTTCCTCACCCTATCTTCTCACTCTATCTCCCTTCACCATCTCACTCCCCATCTCCCCTCACCTCATCTCCCCTCACCTCACTCCCATCTCCCTCACCCCATCTCCCCTCACACCCATCTCACCCATCTCCCTCACTCTATCCTCACCCCTATCTCTCACTCTCACCCCCCATCTCCTCACTCTATCTCCCTCACTTCATCTCCTCACCCACCCCCCTCCTCCGACACAGAGGAACAGCCTGACGGGTGCTGGCGAGAACTGAGGCTTTTTGTTAGGTTAATTGCGGCTTTACCTGTGTTTGGGGAAGCCTTACCTGGCTGGCTCCTTCATAGCGGGGCGTGAGGGGGCGGAGGGGGGGAGGAGGTGACGGAGATGGGGAGGTGGGAGGAACGGAGTACAAGGGAGAGAGGAGGAGGTGGCGGAGGTGGGAAAGAAGAGGAGGAGCAGGGTGAGGAGGGAGAGAGGAGGAGGAGGTAACAGGTGAAGGAAGAAGAGGGGCAGAAGAGGTGAAGGACGTAGGGAAGGAGTTAAGAAGGATGGAGAAAGGAAGGGGAGGTGAAGGAGGTGGTGAGGTGAATGGGAGGAAGAGAAGGAGGTTGGAGAGCCTAAAGGAGGAGGAGGAGGAAGTGAGGTAGATGGTGGAGATTGAGGGAGGAAATGAGGCCAGGGAAAGGGTGAAGTGAGGGAGAGAGAAAAAAGAGAGGTGATATGAGAGGGAGCGAGGGAGGGAATGAGAATGATGGAGGGATTGAAGTGAAGGAGGGAATGAGGTGAAGGAAAGAGTGAGATGAGAGAAGGAGTGAGGTGAAGGAAGGAGTGAGGTGAGGGAAGGAGTGAGGTGAGGGAAGGAGTGGGGTGAGAGAACTTCTGGATTGGGCATTTATCTCTCCCTCAAAAGACTTTAAACCTAATGATGAGAAGGTGAGAGAAGAAAGGGGGGGCGGAAGAGGGTAAGGAAGGAGGAGAAGAGACGGGGAGAGGATAAAATGAGAGGGAAGGAGGGAGGGAAAGAAGGATGGAAAGAAAGAAATGAAAATAAGAAAGGAAAGAGAGAAATTTGAAGATAGAAAGAGGAAAGAACTGAGAAAGATAAAGACAGAGAAAGAAAGAAAGAAAGAAAGAAAATGAAAAGAAGAGATCGGAGTAGGGAAGAACAGCTAGGAGAGGAAGAGAAGGAAAGAAAAATAGAAGGGAAAGGTGGGCGAGGGGAGAAATATAGAGAGAAAGAGGAAAAGAAGGGAGGTAGAAGGTGAGAAAGATACGGGAGAGAGAGAGAGAGAGGGAGGAAAGGAGGGAGAGGGAAGGTGGGATAAGGGAAGAAGTTAGGGGAGAGAGAGAGAGAGGGGATGGGTAGTGGCGAGAAGGTGAGGTTGAGAGGTTGGGGATAAGGGAGAAGAGGAGAGAGAGAGAGGGAGGGAGGGAGGGCATAAAGGTGTAGTCACCACTAGGGAGGAGGCAGCTCAGGTCTGTGTGTGTGGTCTTAAGTTACATTTGGTTTACGTATGAAGTTCCTTTCTAGTGGCGGTCTGGTGGTGGTGAGGGGGTGAGAAGTACTCCTGGGGTGAGGGGGGGGATAAGAGATGGTGAGGGGTGAGAGAAAGTCCCTGGAGGTGAGAAGGGTGAGGGAGGGTGAGGTGAGGGGTGACAGTATATAACAAGAAAGGACAAGACAAACAAGAGATTGAAACAATACAACTGAGCAAACGTGTACAACACACACCCACCCACACCCACTCCACTCCACCCACACTTACACTCACACCCACCCACCCACACAAGACGTCAGCTAGTATAAACATTTACCACCAGCTGTGAACATTATCAGGTGTCAGGTGTCAGTTTAATTAGTATCAGGTGAAAACGTTTCCATTTAGGTAGAAAAGTTATCATTATTAAGCGTTACCACCACCAAACCTTACTTCCTGTTAATGGTACTACCTCCAAATGTATGTATGTATGTATTATGTATGTATGTATGTATGTATGTATGTATGTATGTATGTATGTATGTCTTTCTTACTCTCACAGCCTTCCCTCTCAACCACTCTCACCCCACTTCCTCTCCCTTACCCACTCTCTCTCCTCACCCACCTCACTCTCTCTCTCTTCCTCACTCACTCTCCCTCACCCACTCTCTCTCCCTCACCCACTCTCTCTCCCTCACCCACTCTCTCTCCCTCACCCACTCTCTCTCCGTCACCCACTCTCTCTCCCTCACCACCACTCACTTTTCATTGTCACACGAGTATTACACTGCCACTCTCCCTCAACACTCTCACACCTCTCCCTCTCAGCCACTCTCCCTCTCAGCCACTCTCCCTCTCACCCACTCTCCCTCTCACCCACTCTCCCTTTTACCGACCGTCCCTCTCACCTACTATCCCTCTCAACCACTCAACTGCTCTCCCTCTCACCCACTCTCCATCGCCTACTCTCCCCACAGCGAGGCATCAGCTGTGCCACCCATGAATACAGGACTATTATTCTGACGCCATTACCTCTCTCCCTCTCTCTCCCACTCTCTCCCACTCTCCTTCACTCACTTACTCACTGACGGAGAAAAATGATCCCTTAATACACCGGCATCAACACACGAGTAACTCCTATATATTCAGCACCATAAATAACAAGTATTCAACGGGTCAAGAACAGGACTCACTTACCCTCTTGTCTTGTACTGACTTCATGTTCAGTAAATTTCACTGCCTAAAGAGGAGCACTTTAAGATTAGACACCCCAGCTCATTACACCTTAACCTAACCTAACCTTACCTTAACCTAACCTTAACCTAACCTAACCTAACCTAACCTAACCTCACCTTAACCTTACCTTAACCTAACCTTAACCTAACTTTAACCTAACCTAACCTAACCCTAACTTAACCTTACCTTAACCTAACCTTAACCTAACCTTAACCTAACCTAACCCTAACTTAACCCTAACTTAACCTCACCTTAACCTAACCTTAACCTAACCTAACCTTACCCTAATCTAACCTAACCCCACCTTAACCTAACCCACCAGGTATAGGGTGGTTAATCTTCAGGTGATCCCTTAACTAATCTCTGGTAAAAGTGTTTAATAAAGTGTTTGGTTAGATCTGGTAGGAATACGTGCTTTCCACACAGACCTTGATGATGTAGTTGTTGGTTTTGTAGTTGTGGTTGTTGTTGTTGTGGTGGTTGTAATGGTTTTTGTGGTTGT